TAACTGACAGATCTTACTTTAAAATCAAGACTTCATTCTGTATATAGCTGCTTACTGTCTTGCCTAACATGTTTGGAACCAGGCTTTGAGAGTTCAATTTTGTGTTTTTAACACAGAGCAGCTGGACTGCTGCCCCTTGGTCTCTCTGAAACCTTGCGACAAGCAGTTCTGTTAGGACCTGTGAAGCCAGAAAGCTTTCTAAATGACAAGGCATTGTAGCCACCTGTGTCTGATGTAAAAGCCCATTTTCAGAAGCTTCTTGCTTCAAGGACTCATTGTTTTCCTTACGAAGGGACTGGTTTCGTGAATGGAGTATACACTGCTAACCTGTGTAAATGCTGCTAATAGACCATGCTGAGTGAGTACAGTGAGTGCTCAGTGTCTAAACAATCTCTGTCTAAACAGCTGTCCAGGAAAGTCATTGATTTGTTAGGAAATCATTTGCTACCAGCCAGTACTACTGGAGCCTGTATTTTTTTCAGACCTGTTTCCTATACAACTGAGCATTTAAAATTGGAAAAGGTACATGATCTTCCACATAGCCACGTGAGGGCAGGCTGCAGCCTGTCTTCATGCAGTATAGAAGTACAGCTAGGAGTTACTCTCACTCTGCTAGCAATTTTCGGTCGTGATTTTCCACAGATCACAAACTTGCTAGTGAGGGTCGCCGTCAGCCTTTTCTCGGTCCATCAGTGTATTGCAGGGTGACTGAGGTCTCTCATTCCAGCTACAGTGAGCACTCCAGTCTGGGTCCCATCCTGAAATCCCGGTTGGAAATGCTCCTGAATACAAGTGTGTACAGCTACTGAAGTGTGGATTGCTTCTATTCATTGTAAAGGACAAATGTTAAAAGCAAAAAGGTGCTTAAGAGAAGGAAGAGAAAAGCAAAGTGTGAGACTCGCTTGAATTAAAATATTTCATATTTCCTAATATCTCCTAATCTGGGTACTGAAAAAGGTAAGCTGTGAGTAGAGTTGCTTGTGATTCTGAGAGGAAACCAATGGGTCTCACCATGCTTATGGGTTCCATGTCCATAGTAGAGATTCTGGTTTTAGTATGTGTGCCTGTCTGGGTCTACTTTATTGCAAGGTGAGCTTTACTGTGGACTCACCTGACTGTATTGACAACACCTTCATTGTCTATAAGGAAGTTTCTGAGGGGACACTGTCATGGTAACTACCCGCAGTCAGAGGCCATTGGAAATGGACCCCAGAATTTCGGACATTAGCCAAATGCCTGCTGTTTGGAGAATCTCTGAAGGTGTTGTGAAACCTTACCCTCATGACTGACCATCATCTCTCTCATGCTTGTCAAAGTGGAAGAAGCACATGCAGTGAAACAAAATAAGCTGGTGAATGCAGAGCAGGTCCAGATACTTGGTAGGTCAAAAAAGACACTCATATGTTAATTCAGTAGTATTGCAGAGGATGTGGAGAAATCCATCCTTACTCACAAGCACACAAAACTCTGGGTCTGCACACACTATTTCATACTGTTTCTTGAAATTGTGATCTATTGGGAAGTAGGTAAGAATGTGAAGAAACTGGTGGACCTGACCTAGCCTTCTGCAGTCCATGGTATTTCCAAACTGCCTCTCAGTGCATCAGCTTGACTTCAATTTTTGGCGTTAAAGACAGTAGATGATCTTCCAGATGGCCACAGGAGGGCATAGTACAGCTTGCCTGTTCCTTCATAAATTACTATTCCCTGGTTTTCACTCATTGATTCTTAATTTGAGGTCACAAATTCATGTATATTTCTGCTGCCAAGTCATATCCAAGACAAGTAGATGTATTTATATAAAAAAGAGAGTCTATCTGTAGTATTTTCAACAAGTGTGAGAGGACAGCAAGGTATATTATATCTCAGTTAGTAGCTGGGGAAGTTATAGAATGGAGAATGGTTTCTGCTGAAGTGAAGCCAGAGCAGTTTGATGAGAGTCACCATTAAAAAAACCCTATTTTTTGGTCTGCTCCCTTGAGCTCTACTTCTCTTGTGAAGACTGACTTCTTACTTTTGAGTCTATATAGTGTAGAGAAGTGCCTTGTTATATACAGAGAAGTGTAAAATGAGTCCTTGGAGTGGAGCCTGAAATGTTTAGGTAAACTGCTCAGCATATGTATTCCTGGTTTGCATTTCCTTCTCCATCACTGGAGGAAAGTCAACTGTTCTTGTTTTCAATTGTTACAAGGTTGGAGCCTGATTTGCAGTGCTTGTAGGGACTTTTAAGGAAAGTTGCCAATGCCTTTCTTTAGGCAGAGGCATGGAAGAGGAGAAAAAGCAGGTCCTGCTCGTCCGTCCTCCCCAGCTGCATGGTGCTGCCACTCCTCTTGTGTCAGATGGAGCGATTATGCAGTTGTGGGAGGAGTTGGTCGGAGGAGCTGATCCGGCAGAAAACTGCGCTGCCAGAAAAGTGACTCACCGTCCATCTCCCCGTGGCTGCACATGGCAGGGCCCTTCAGCAGCAGCCTGAAGTCACTTCTCATTACATGGTGTCTGAAATCACAACCTAAGGATGTGGGTGTCGGATGGGTTTGTCTGGTTGCAGCTGTGGGCTGCAGTGGGGAGGGGTGATCCCACTGCTGCCGTGCTTCTGGCCAGACCTTTCTGCGCCCTCCCCTGTGACTCCTGCTCCAACAGCAAACCCCTCATTCAGAGGGGAAGGGGCAGCTGAAGTAGTAGCAGAGAAAAGGCGGAGAGGTGCCTTGAGGGAGAAGAAGTGTAGTTGTGCTATGCTGATGTTCCCTCCAGCAAACCTGCTAGCCTGCACATAGAAATGTGTTTTGAAGTGACGTGCTGAAGGGCACCACGTGTCCCGGGTGTGAGTCCAGTAGCCCTGTGACATTTGGTTTGTTTCTGCTCAGTGAGGGGATCGATAGATCCAGGGTGTTGGATCTGAGCTTTGCACAGTCTGCTTGCTTTTAAAAACATTTGCCTTTTGTCTTAGATGTGCCTCTGCGCTTCAGGCTGTTTGCGTACCACTTGCACCAAAGTTTTGAGCACTCTGTCTTTCTGTCTCACATGCCTCTGGTGGACTCTTCTGTGCTGCCCCCAGAGTCGTTTGTGTCTTGCTACTGCCTCTGTGCAGTGAGCTGTGCCACCTGCCATTGACTTCGTGTTGCTCCGCTGGGGATCCGCAGCTGGCAGGGAGGTTGTCCGCCAGGAATCTCACCATCCTGCTCCTTTCTGCTCTCTCCTCTGCCCTGGCAAGAGGTGAGCTTAGCTGGTTTTGCTCGGTGTTTGCCCGTGCCATGAATTTACAGCTTGCCAGCAAAGCTCTGTTTCACAACATCTTCAGTGGTTGGATGGTGTGGTTTTCCTTCTGCTCCTGAAGAGGGGAATGGACTGCAACAGAGTGAAACACTTGGGAGATGTGGAGCCTGGGAAGGTCTAGGACAATGTACCTCTGCTGGCATTTTTTGCGGGGGCACTGGCACTGGCTACAGTCCTTCCAAACTCTGCTGCTCTCATGGTGCTTAGTGCCTTGCTGACCTGTTTGAGTGTGGCAGAAAGCTGTAAAGAGAGTATGGAGGCCAGGACAAAAGTATAGGACTGAGGGATTTAAGAATGCAAGATGATGAGCAACACTTAGACATCCTGGAGCACCTCCAGGGTTTTATGGCACGGTGAGGTGGGAAGCGAGAGAACGTCCTCCCTGGAGAACGAGGGGAAGGTTGGAGGGTGCTCCCATAGTTGGGGCAGGTCTTGCTTGGGTGTTTAGAGCAGACATGGTTTTCTTGGTGAAGCAAGGTCTTCTCCCAACGCATTTAGTGCGCTGGGCCAGTCTGCACCAGCTTGTATCACCTTGTCTTGCCCATTACCAAAATTATAGCATGTTCTTCCCTATCAGGGTTGGAAGAGATGGTCAGGAAGAGGGGAGTAATTGCCACCTGACTGTGGGCTGTCCAGTGAAGCCCACAATTGCTTGGAGCACATGTTTGGGCCATACGTCCTGGCAGCCTGGAAATTGGAATTTCCACTCTTTCTGGAAGGAGTGAAAATGGGCCTGCAGTTTTCCTTTTCTATTGCCTGAAACAAGCACCTGCCTCTGCATAGTGCAGTAATTATTTGAGAAACTGCTTAAAGCTGGGCACTCATGCCAGGTGCCAGGCTGCTCCCATGTCCACCTGTCACATGTTTAAAGTGCTGTTCTGGAACCAGAGAGACATTAATTACAGCCCTAGTGAGATTGCGATCTCTTCTGGTGGAGATCTCCCGAGGGCTTCTTTAATGGTGCTGTCAGATGTTTCTGCATTCCTCCGTGGAGCAATTACTTATCCTGTGTAATTTGCCCACTGATCGAGGAGTTCTTCCACACGATGCGATGCTCGTTCACGTTCCATGGCACTTGGTGTTTTCTTCCTGCTTTAGTTTGGCAGCTGGTGGCAGCCAGGCTCCTGGTGATCTCAGGAGGGGACCCTTCTTCCAAAATCCTTCTCTCCAATACCTCAATCCCTTTAATGGAGGCCTCTGCTGTTCCCATGGGTGTTTTGTGACAGTTTAGTCTAGTTTGTATGTAATTCAGCCACACTGGTGCCAGGCACTTTGCAGCGTTAGTGGCTGCTATGGGGCTTTGGGTGTTCAGTGAGTGGGCTGGTGGGGAGAGTAAGTAGCTACTGCTCAGGCACTGTTTCACGGTGTCGAGCTGCCCCAAATCCGAAAGGTTCCTATTTTCCACAGGTGGGCTGACTTCCCCACATGGAGATGCAAACCTGAGAGGCAGCAGGCATGTCTTGACCTTGTAGGTGCTGCATCAGCAAGATCAACAAGGGCACAGTTTGCTTTTCCTGAGGCACCCATTCCTAGCCTGATGTGTTTTCTAGCTGTTTGGGAGCCATCAGCAGCTCCTCAAGTCTCTTCTGATGTCAGTACTGTTGGAGCCCCCTCCCTCCTCTGAGTGCTGTATCCCAGTTTGCAGTCCTTAGGAGCTCCCAAAGTCTTCTTTGTGGGTAGAGGCACCTCTGGGCCTGGCTTTCTGAGTTGACCCCAGGGAGCCCATGATGCCTTCAGCTCAGCCCTCAGACAGAGACGTGCCTTCTGTCAGGGTCCAGGTTTCAGAGGTGCCTTTGGTGGCCTCCGTATGTTGAAACCTTGTAATTTCCAGGAGGCTGCTGGTGGGGCCGATTATCTAGCTGGACTTCTCATCCCTCGTGTGGAATTTGCAGCCACTGCACCTTTGTATGGCAGGAGCCTGGGTATGGGGGATGGCTTTAATTAGCTTGTTTCTCGGCTGGGACATGGAGGCCTCCAGAGCCTGAAGAAGTCATTGGAAATCACCAGAGCTCCAGGATCAGATACGGGAGGTTGTGTTTAAGGAAAAGACCTGCATGGACCAGCAGATTTTTCCTCTAGATTGGTGGTTAGCAAGGCGGAAACAAGCTGCAGCGCTGGTCTGGCACCTCCCAAACACTTAGGAGTGATGGCTCCTCCCTTGGCAGCTTGCTTTCTCCCCCCACCCCTTTGCCTTGTATATAAGGCCCCCTCGGAGCAGCCTTGGCACAACACAGCCCACTCCAGCAAGGCAGGCAGCAAGCTGCACCTCCAGTTCCAGCACCTCTGCTCTTGGGGAGAGTGAACCAGAAGGCCTTCAGCATGGGTAAGAGATACTCTGCAGCCTCCCCGCAGCCCACAGCAGCTCCAAGCCTTGTAGCCCCATCCTGGACCTGGCTCCAGCCACTGCCTGGAGGCTGCAGACATCCCACCTTGAAACCCATTTGTGGACTGGTAGGTTTGTTCCTCTGCAGCACTGCAGGAAAGAGAAGAGTGGGACTGAAGTTTGGCGTGTTGTCCGACTGGTGCCAGAGGTTTCTATTGTCTCGCTACCATTCTGCTTCCAGGGGCTTCTTTTGCCTTGAAAAGCTACTTGCATGTGGCTGTAGCATCCGTGCTGAGGGGAGCCTCCCCTTCTGCTGCAGAATCATCAGGGAGACAAGAAACCAGGCTTATTTTCCAGGCTAGACCTTCAATACTGACGTGGTTCTCTGTGTAAGCTCTCTCTCCTTCACTGCTGATGGGGAAGCGATCAGTGAGGTGCTCAGAGGATGCAGAAGGGAACTGAGCAGTGGTTTAATCCATGATGTGCCAGGTGGCACCTGAGAGAGGATTCCTCTCCTGTATCTGTGATTTGTCGGTGCCATAACAAGACTAGATGCTGGTCACAGAGGTCCCCATTGACAGCGGGGGTGGGAGAAGGTCCATCGGGTAGGACAGAGTCTTCTGAATAGGCACCTTTTAGGACGTGGACGTTTCTCATTTTATTCTTCTCTTCTTCTCGAATCAGACAGATGCAGAGTTCAGTGCTACGAGTACCCCACCTGCCCGGATGTTGTGAAAGGCAAGTCCTCTTGAGCGTGTTTTGGAGTGGGTAGTGGAGACCACCATTAACCATGTGTGTTATAGCCTCTCCAAAGGGAGAAGGCTGTAACTATATGGAGATCCACTTTTGTTCTCTTACCTCTGGGTCAGTAATGGAAGCAGGGTTGGACAGTTGACAGTGACCAGGGAAGAAGGTTGTAGCATCCAGAAAAATAAGTTCAGTCCTATCTGAGAGTCTGTTGAAGCTTTTCTTTTCCTTTCTGGCTGGTTCATGGTGTGTTCTAAAGGAAGCTTTCTATATACCCAGCTCCCAGAGAGGAGGTTGCCTACGTGACCTGTACCTACAGGGAAACATGCATCGACCAACCTGACTTCCTGGCCACCATTGATCTCAACCCCAGATCTCCATGTTATTGCCAGGTACCTGTGTCTTGACTGTGTTTTTACTGGGCTGGTGACTAGCTGCTGGCTCTGTGCTTTATAGTGCCTCCAGATTCAGGACATCTACTCTTTTTTGCTGGGGAAAATCAGATTGCTTGATAGCCACTCTGTCATGCCAGCTGTCTGTTTATGCCTTACACCTTCTTGTCTTCCTGCATCTTTCTGTCTCATCCACCCTGAACTGACTTTTTTCCCCTGCTGCCTGTTCATATCCTGCCGAGACCCATCTGGGAGACCCCTTGTGAGTTTTGTCATGACAGGTCTACTTCTTGCTTTTCCACCGGTATTATGCATGAGATAGGGATGTTGTCTGCTAGGAATCTCACCTTCCTGGTCTCTTTCCACTGTCTTCTGTATGCCTCACTCTAGTTGAATCACCTCTGTCTCTGTGTCCCGGGGACAAGTTGGCTCTGACTCACTTCCCAACTCACTTCCAGAGAATCTTGGTGCTGCTAGTGAGTTTTTGAGCAAATGCTCTGAATCACCCTGTCAGTGGCTGCTCAGCATGGAAAATGGTCTCCAGTGACCCAGGTGGTTTAGGGTATCCAGCACTTTTGCAGAGTTCAGCAATTTTCTACTGTGCTGCAATGTTCTGTTATGCACTGTACCAACCTGTCTGCTGTCATCCTAAATGGGAAATTGGAGTTTACCTGTCTCCAAAGGCTGCAAAGACACATTATCTACTGTGCATCTTTGAACTGATCAGTCACATTTAACATTTCCGGAGATCTCCTTTGGTGTGGGCAGTGGTGTTATCATCTCTATGTTGCTGGTTGCATTAGGGTCCCCATTTCTCCGTGCCTCCCTGTGTGAACCCTAACTCTACCTTGAGTGCCTAGGTGATTCACCGCCTGCCCATGCCCAACCTCAAAGACGAGCTGCATTCCTCGGGGTGGAGCGCTGCCTGCCCCTGCTTTGACAATACCACAACGAAAAGGAACAAGCTGATTCTTCCCTGTTTGATTTCTTCCCGCATTTACGTGGTGGATGTGGGTTCACAGTGCCGGGCTCCCAAGCTGTGTAAGGTATGCCTGAGGTGATTCAAAGACAAGCTTCTGGGAAGGAGTTGGGAACTGGTGCTTCTTGAATAATGTAGAGGGAAGAAGGGTTCTCTCTTTGTCTTCTCTTCCACCCTGATTTTAGAGAGCTGGGTCACTTTTGCCTCTCGGCTCTCTCCTTTTCAGACCAAGGAAGGCTCTGATCATCATTGCCTTCCCTTCTGTGTGCCTGTTGCATTCAGAGAGAGTCTAATAACGGGAAGTCACGCAACACACCACACCTGCCCCACTCCCAAATAGTGAGGTGGACAGACAAGCTGTTATGAGTTAGGTGTTGCTGCACTCTTGTTGTCTGTGTAGAGGGGAGCTCAGAGGCTTTTTTGCTCCTCTTTAAGGAGGAGCAGGTCCTAGCAAGCGTGAGTTCTGGGAAAGAAAGCTCCAGCAGGTGTCAGAGATTTTCAGAAGTCTCTGATGGCCAAAGGCTCTGCCAGGGAGTGTGAAATGAGCTGAGCAGTCAGAGGCTGAAGTGTGTGTGTGTCAACTTTTTTCAGGTGATTGAGCCAGTGGATGTCTTCTGGAAGTGCAACAAGGGATACCTCAATATACCTCGCAGCCTGCCTAATGGCGATATTCTGATTGCCAACATAGGAGATCCATCTGGCAATGCGAAAGGTACTTTGCCCTTTAATAACCTCATGAACAAACGGATTGGTTTGGAAGTGGAGTATGTGATATTTCGTGCATCCCCTTTTTGTATCGCAGGTGGATTTATTGTGCTGGATGGAGAGACCTTTGAGCTGAAGGGGAACTGGGAAAATGAGTGTGACAGCCCACCGAGTGGATATGACTTCTGTTACAAGCCACGCCACAATGTTCTGGTCAGCTCTGCTGGAACAGCCCCAAAATGTACGGGATATGGATTCAGTCCCGATGACTTCAAGAAAGGTGAGGGAATATGGGTGCAAGTGCTGAGCCAGAACTCACCAAGGTGGTGGGAGGGTGTCGATGCCGTCAAAGAAAGGGCCGGAGCTGGTGAGAGGGCACAGGCAGATTTCTTCCCCAATGGCCCATTTTACAGACACGGCTACAGGACATGGAGCATCTGTCCTTAAGACAGGCTGGTTCCTGTCTTCTCCCACTGCTCCCTAAATCACCGCAGGTTCTCTGCTGATTCTGGCTCGTCGCTGCCATGGCTGTCCCTGCCTGTGAGCATTTTGGGGAGGGATTAGGGTAGCCCTCCCTCTTCTGACATGGTTTTCCTTTTCCTCAGGGGTCTTTGGGCGCCGCCTGAACGTGTGGAACTTGTCCTGCCGCAGCCTCACCCAGTGCTTTGACCTGGGGGAGGACTCTCTGCCCCTGAGCGTTAAATTCCTCCACAACCCCGATGCTGCCGAGGGATATGTCAGCTGTGCCCTGAGTGGCATCGTCTACCGCTTCTACAAGTGCGAGGCAAGTATTGTGCCAGCAGCCAGGGGAGACCCGGCCGTGGTGAGCTACAGAGGGATTGAGAAACACACAGAAGAAATTTGGGGTAGCAGAGAGAAAGAAGGAGGCGTGTGGAGGGGGCAGTATCCAGACCCTGCTTCGGATGTGTGTGCTAGAACGAGAGGAGTCTGTTCTTCCACTGAGTGTAAAGGGAGCCCATCGTGACCAGCTGGGATGAACATCTGGGGGATTAATTTGAGCGACGAAGACCAGCCTTGCTGTTGGTATCCGACGATGCTGTCCTAATTGTGTCTGCTCATAGTAGCTGGGTGCAGTGGCAGCCTTCCTCCGGCAACTTTGCCTAGCTGTGCAAGTGTGCGAGTGCAGGGGAGTGCTCTTGCCTGACCAGCCAGGAACGCTCATGGTGCGGTGCCTGTGTTTCTTGTGCAGAGAGACAACTGGGCAGTGGAGGAGGTGATTCGGATACCGGCCAAGGACGTGACGGGATGGATTATGCCCAAGATGCCAGGTTTGTGTGCCCTGAGGTGGTGTTTCCTTTTTCCTCCGGAGCGTTGTTTTGCACAGCCTGGCAAAGCCCACTCACTGACTGCCAAAGCCTTGCTGCGTAAACACGACAGAAGGCTCGTTGGAGGGGCTGAGGGGCTGCGCACCCCCCCAAGAAGACACTGCTGCCCCAGCTGGAGCCTGTGCACTTGAGCCTGTGAGATGTACAGAATGGCAGGGAGAGATGCGAGCTGGGGTTCGATGCAAGGCATGTTTTCTGTTGCTGCTGTCTTCTCTGGAGCTTTTTGTTTCTGTGCCCTAGCATTCACAGTGGACCTCATCATCTCAATGGATGACAAGTACCTCTATCTCAGCAACTGGCTGCATGGAGACATCCGCCAGTATGAGCTCTCCAAAACCTGCAAGCCCAGGCTGGTGGGACAGGTAAGGCAGGAGCAGAAAGGCTTGTGCTGTTGGGTTCCTCGGCAGGATGTGGTGGTGGTTAGATGACAAGGCATCATGTCTCCCACTGCCTCGCTTACAGGTGTTTGTGGGAGGCAGTATCCTCAGAGGTGGACCCGTGGCTGGGTGTAGAGACGAAGAGCTGAAGTGCCAGCCGGAGCCCTTGGTGATCAAGGTGAGTTCCGTGGCCTGTTTGCCCTCTGGTGTCCTTTGGACTTTGGCTCTGCTCTGCTAATTCTCTTGCCCAGGGTTTCTGGGGTAGGTCTCCACTACGGAGATGCCCTGTGTCTGCAGCATCTGGTAGCTTGTCTGTGTTGGGAGGGGAGGCAGCCACTCTGCTCTGCTCTGCTCTCCTGCTCCTGCTTGTGCTTGACTGCTCAAAGAAAGAAGACAGTAACATCACTGCTGTCTGTTGTGCCTTCAGTGCAAGAGAGTGTATGGCGGCCCTAGTAAAATGCAGCTCAGCGTGGATGGCAAGAGGCTGTACGTCACCAACTCCTTATACAGCACATGGGACAAGCAGTTCTACCCGAACTTGGTCAAGTAAGAAACGTGGGAGACAAGGGGCCTCTTTTGCATGGCCTC